CCTTGATAGAGAGGATCGTTGGTTTGAGAGAGGAGTAAAAGAAGCCATCTTTGTGAAGAAAAACCGTCCACCATTAAACAGAGGTGGAGGCCTTCGTGTCAGTTGTCCTCCTCCTACAACACTGTTATTGCAAATATGACTCCGCCCCCTGTGAGCAAAAGGTGTGAATCAGTGCCCAATGATAACCAACACAAAAACRGAAAAAACAAAAACATGGGGACTTTGAGCCCCGCCTGCATTCACTACATACACATAACAAAACACCAAATAATCACAGCTGAAGTATCCAAACAATAAGTCAGGTGATGGGGCACATTATCTTCGATGAACAATAGAACTAATCAAGCCTATTGTTAGGTGATGGCCTTATTTTGCATGTGACTAACCTGTTTGTCCACCATGTGGAGGCGGAGCTTATAAGCCTGAGTTCACCTGAAACTCATCAGACTGAAGAAGTCTCTTGGAGGAGAGAYGAAACGTTTCACTAAAGAAGAACCATCCAGAGGACCTACTGATTTTTGAAGATACATTTTGGTCCCTGGATGATCCAGATATCATGAGCAACTCCAGAGATATGGCTTGATTTGTCTTCCTATTCTCATTAATATTTAGTCTGAATCATATTTTTAGGATGTTCTGATAAAGAACATTTGATGTCATTCCAAAGAGGAAACCTCAAACATGTACAAAATAAAAATGGCTTTGCTAGCTTGCAGGGAAAATTACAATAATTTCAAGCTTTTCTTCTTGAAATCATGATTTTTGTAGCTACTGCTCAACAAAGACCTTCAAGAAAATATTTGAGTTTTTATTTCAGAAATTTWTTTCAAACAAACCCGTAGATAAGATTCATTATATTTAGATAAAATGCAGTTGTTGAAAACATTTTAACCAATGCAATACAACTGCTTATTTCTCCACATCCCATTTTGAGACTTAAGCCTTGTTTCCATGTGATGGGTCACATTTAGTAAAGAAGCTAAATGTCCTYGGGTATTTGCTTCACACAGATCATAAATACAACTTTGTCACCATTGAGAGAATAGGGAGCAAAGAGGACCCAGATTCAGGCAGGCAGGAGGGAGGTTCAGGAACAATAAGGAAGTTTAGTAAGTGAAATCAAGCAGGAGCACGAGGAAAGGAATCTGATAATGAGCAGAACATTCCTGAAAGGATAAATACAGGGAAGGATGATGGCTGAATGACAGACAGGTGAGCTGCAGTAGAAGAATGATCTCTAAAAACAGGRCAGCACCACCCTTTTAAGGAATAACGTCACAACAATACATGTTCATCCAGCATCAGGCAGGACAGATCCAGTGGTTTGCATCGAGTCCATCCAGGCAGGCRAGATAATTCAGGCTGGGACAGGTGGACAGGTGTCAGCCATGAYGACCAGAAAAAAACCCAGTGAAGAAAAAACATCTGGTAGGGCTYTGTTAAACTCAAGAACTGGTTTAGGCAGGCCATCCCCATCAGACACAGAAACAGGTCTAATGGTGTCCAGCAGAACCCTCTCAATAACAACCCTAGTTGGGTTGGTTTGGACTTTTTGTGTTGACAAGACTGAAAACAAGAGGAGAGGCGGAGCTTGTCAAACTCAGCAGAGAGGCAATCCACACAACCAGGAACTGAAATGGGTCAGGGTGTCCTTTGGGATCTCCTTGATGATAGAACAGGATCTAATGGAGAGGTGCTCTCTGGGACTCGGTGGCAGGTAGAGGAGCATGAGGAAAGACATCCAACATGAGAACAGAAACAGAATCTTAGTGTAGAGTTGACCTGCTCCCCTAGCACTAGAAGTCCCAGAGAAGGGTCATTTAATATTTCTACCTTTGRAACCCAGAGAGGGRTCGATTGAGCTCAAGGATTTTAGCTCACATTCTAAATCAGCTGYGAACGGGTGCTTTTGTTTTGAAAATAAGTAATRTGAGGGCTATTTGTTGCCTTTTGTTGTTCAAATGGCTGCAGCTAATCCAGACACACCCACCACACCTGATAATATTCTCACTCTGTTTCTCAAGGGCTCCTGTTTACAAGATTTTGCTCTGAAGATGTGGTGTGTTGCAAAGAACACAACTGGATGCCACTGTATTTTCAGAGCTACAGTAAAAAAAAATGTAACTATAGTATCTTACAAACATCTTTCTTTGTTGTAAAAACAAAATGTATATATTGCTTGTGCAAGCTGTTTTTGTAAATATTGTAAATAAAACTTGCTGCCAAGTCCTGTTTATGTATCTTGATTTCCTCAGCCATGTCTGCAGAGTTTGGGCCGGGGTGTATGTAGGTGCAGAGTTTTGGACTGCAGACATGGCTGAGGGAATCAAGATACATAAACAGGAATTAGCAGCAAGTTTTATTTACAATATTTACAAAGTAGCTGTGGCTACAGTGCAGTTTGCCATCATCAGTGTGTGACTGTGAGTGTGAATGGGTGAATGTCTGTTAGTGTAAAGCTCTTTGGGGTCCGGAGGGACTTGAAAAGTGCTCTAATTTCAGTCCATTTACCATTTATCTTTATCCGTAGAAAGTTCTAAGTTCAAATCAGTGTCTGAATCATCTATTTCATCAAAAGATAGTTCCTCTCCTCCATCGGACTCCCAGTCATCCATAGCAGTCAGTAATTCCAAAACTGGCAAAGCAGTGTAGGTCTTCTTTGGTGCCATTGTGTTTTTCTTTGCTCCAAACACGATCGAAGGGTAAAAAATGATCCACTCCTGTCAGTGTTTCTGCATTTAGGACTACAGCTATTCATCTAGCTGTAAATTACTTTCTGCCACAGGCGTAAATGTGTTTCACAGGTGTAAATGTGTGGTATTTGTAAATTTTCTAAACTGTCCCACAAAACAACGTTTGTGCTCCTAGTCAATTCTGACTGATTTGATATATTCATTGAAAACAAAAAGACAAAACCTTACTAAACACATAATACTTGAATCAGATACTATATTTACAATTTTTTACTGTAGCTCTGAAAATACAGTGGCATCCACTTATGTTCTTTGCAACACACCAAATCTTCAGAGCAAATACTTTTAAACAGGAACCCTTGAGAAACAGAGTGAGAATATCATCGGGTGGCAAAACTGTACCCCTACATATCCCCCCTTTGGTCCAAAACTGTGCCCCTACATATCCCCCCTTTGGTCCAAAACTGTGCCCCTACATATCCCCCCTTTGGTCCAAAACTGTGCCCCTACATATYCCCCCTTTGGTCCAAAACTGTGCCCCTACATATCCCCCCTTTGGTCCAAAACTGTGCCCCTATGTTGACGACGACGTCGACATTGTCGACGACGATGTCGACGATGTCGACGACAACATCATCGTGTCGACAACGATGTCTTTACATTTTGTTTTTACAACAAAGAAAGATGTTTGTATGTCTCATATTGCTAAGCAGAAGGAAGGGGTTTGTCCCCTGCTGATTCCTAAGGCAATAGCCACATTTACAAATGAAAAGATGCTAATTGGAGCCATCAGAATCGTCTGTTTGGACTAAGGGTCTTTTGACCCTGTTTCGGGACTTCAGGGGGGTTGTCAAAATTCCTAGGACTTCTAGTGCTAGAGGAGGCGGGACACAACTGTTGTCTCAAGGGTTCTGGGATGTGCAAAAACAAAGTTCCTGTTTTTCTTTGCTAAGATATTGTCTGTACATTTTAGATTATCTGAGCTGTAATATTAAAATAAAACTAAACCAGTTCTGTTCCAACAGGTCTCACTGCCCCATCAACCATCACAGACTGTTGACCACAGTCAGTACTTTGTGAATTACCCACACAAATACCGTTTCATACTGGATGAGCCAATCAGGTGTCAGCAGGAAAACCCATTCTTGGTTGTTTTGATCCCGGTGCCACCACAAAGCAGAGGGACCCGAGACATCATCCGCAGCACATGGGGGAAAGACACCACAGTGCTGGGCCAGGTGGTCCACTACTACTTCCTGCTGGGACTGTCCAGAGTTGGAAAAGGGATGGAGCAGCCTGAGGAAGAGGTGATTCTATTTTACAGTTAATGTTTTATAATTCTTTTACTTTGGATTAGCCAGAAACAAAGGAGTGGCGACTCTTTTGTTCATCCTTTAACATGTATGACACTAGACACAACAATGAACGACTTGATTATTTCCAAAGTGTGACTTCAGCAGTTCTGATGGGTACAATGTAGGCAAAGACAGGCAACAAAAATAAGGTGCATGGCTTAGAGTACAGCTTTGTAGGCTATGAAGACATTAACAGGTTGTGATCTACATAAAACATGACGACTAGGCTCACTGGCTGTAAAATTCAAATACACAGACACACATCTGCCTATGTTCTCACAACTTTGAGTCACAAACCATGTTCTAACAGAAAAACTAAAAACACCAGCAGACTTTACCACAAGTAACGGTTTTATGCATGACCTGAAACAATCAGTTTTATGAYGCATACCACAAAGATATTTGAGCAATAACTTATGATTATGCAGGAAATAACCCAGGGCGCAGGCAGCCTCAAAAAGGCAAAAATAAAGTCTTTAATATAACGGAAAAGGCTGATGGTGCAGCACAAAAAACTCACAAGGAACAAAAAAAACCTATACAAGCTGTAAACAGCACAATGATCCAACAAACACTGAAGACAGGGCACAGAATATAAAGGCCAACTAATGAGAGAAAACCAGAAACACCTGGGAAAGAATCATGAGGAGCAGGTGAGAGTGGGCGGGGCTGGAGCAAAGACGGGCAGGGGGAGTAAACAGAAAGACAAGAGAGAAAACCAGAACAGAACCAAAATAAAACATTAACACAGACATAGACCATAACAATAACTAGACTTTTTTCTTGTCAAATTTCATTTGGTTGCCAAGATCATTTCCAGTATCCCAGCTCAACGTTTGCAGGTTTTCAACAAGGAAGTGGGATATTCTGAAAACCACACTACAAACAGAAGTTGACTCAGGGATCATTTGAAGAATTTTGCTCAGTAGAGATATAAGAAGACTAAAATCTTTTTTTTAATTTGCTTTAATCTCACTTCTCACTGTTTGTTTCAGATATTACTTGAAAGCCAGAAGCACCATGACATTCTGCAGAGCGAGTTCTTGGACTCCTACAGAAACCTCACCATTAAAACAATGCTCATGTTCGAGTGGCTCAGCACTCACTGCCCCAACACCTCCTACGCCATGAAGGTCGACTCGGACATCTTCCTCAACACACACAACCTTGTAGACATGCTTCTGAAAGCCCCTCAACGTCTCTACCTGACAGGCTTGGTGATAAGAGAGGCTCAGGTTCTACGAAATCCAAACTCCAAGTGGTTTATGCCTGTCACGGCCTTCCCCGAGCCGATCTACCCCCCTTACATCATGGGACTGGGCTACGTGTTTTCACTGGATCTAGCCAAGAAGATACTGGAGGCTTCTGAGCACGTTAAAGCAGTTTATATTGAAGACGTGTACGTGGGTCTGTGCATGAGACATTTAGGAATTGAACCAACAGGTCCTCCTCGTGGTGGTCTGTTTATGGCTGAAAGGCCTTCCAGGACAGACTCATGTTACTGGGCCTCGGTCATCACAACAATCCTACAGAACTCTGAGCAGCTGCTGGAAGTGTGGAAGGTGTACAAGACTCAGGCACAAAGTGGCTGTTAGACGTCTTTTCAATGTAAAACATTAAAACTGTTGCCGGACTGTCCGGCGCCAGAACAAGTCAGAACATTTCTCTGTTTACATTTCATTCACAACTCTCAGGGGGTTAACTTTGTGCTTTGTTGGTGATGTTTGAACTAAAACTGTGTTTCAGGGAGACAGATGGGCTGTAGTGGCTGAGCAAAGCAGAGTCTGAAACTGTATGTTTGTACAAGTAATTTAATAAAACTCTCAAACAGAAATCATTATACGCCCATCTACGACCAACCGGGGGAACTATCTTTAGTTTCCATACAACTGTTGAAGTCAGCTGCATGTTGCCAAAACCAAAACAAAGTTACTAAAGGACACCCAAAGCTTTTTCAATAAATAACCTGGGTCTGAACAGTCAGCTATGGGTTGAAATTTAAAGGGATCCCCGATTAGTTGTAACATTAGACTTTATTTGATAAACATTTATTTTAACTGTAAAATAAAGACTAAAAATACTGTAGGCTGTTTATTTTCGTAAATTTTTAAAAATATATTTTAACACGAACGGAGCCATTTTATTTGCACACAAAGCATTCTGGGTAAATGATGACGTGGATAGGTCCTCGGTGCGAGGCTGCTAGCGAGCTATATCCACCCTGAAGGTTAATCTTGGACAATATCTGATGATCGACTCTTTTAAATGAAACCAGAGAGCGTTGACAGAGAGGAGAAGGTAGAAATGACTCAGCCTGGAACTGAAAATATGGATGGAGGACAACAGGTTAGCTTGTTTATCGCGCTAGCACTGAGCTAATACATATAATGCAATATAGCATCAGCACTAGCGCAAAGGCTAACAGGCTAAACTGAGGTTCTTCTTCCATGAAGCAGCTCTGTTGTTTACCCAGCATGCTTTGCGTCTGTGGCCCCGTTCGTGTAATATTTTCTTAAACTTTTAGTTTAAAAATTGAAAAACTAAACATCCTACAGTATTTTTACAGTCTTTATTTTACAGTTAAAATATATGTTTATTAAATAAAGTCTAATGTTACAACTGCCGTATTTTTCGGACTATAAGCCGCGACTTTTCTCCTGAACTTTGAACCACGCGGCTTGTAGTCCGGTGCGGCTTATATGTGGATTTTTTTCTTCAGCCACCAGGGGGGTTCTTATGCTCCATTTGCTTCAACCACTCGCTTCAAAAAAAGAAAGGTAAAAAAAGAAAATAGAAAAAAACGATCGCTTCCAGAGCCGACTGTTGTACCAGGAAGCAGCGATTTAAAGATAGTCAATGGCCAAAAACTCATAAAAGGGGATAAAACAGACATTTTTCACAGTGGCATCTGACTGATAAAATCTTTAGAGCTTAATCCAGGACCAGTTTGTGGATAAACGTCGAGTGAAGAGCTACTGACTTTTTTTTTTGGCATTGCACTCCCYGGGGAAGGAATCCCATGCAGTGACGTATGCTGCAGCGGGAGGGCTTTCCCAGCACAGCTTCAGAGCCAGCATTACCCCGGGAGGACAACAGAAACCGCTGTGTGACGCAGCTTTTCTCAGCTTGTTTAACTCCGACACTGAACAGATACCGCTGTGTGACGCAGCTTTTCTCAGCTTGTTTAACTCCGACACTGAAGAGGAGGACTTCGATGGTTTCAGTGCACCGGAGGACGATGAATGAGACATTTTGTTGGACCAGAAACTGTTAAAGAAAACTACCAAAATAAGGTCAGTTAAATGAACCATATTCCTCCGAACTTTACCGGTAATTCCTAAAGGTTTGCTTTTTATGTTTTGATGTTGAATTCACTTTTTTGACGGCAAATTTGGGTGTACTGTTTTTTTTATGTTGGGGGTGCGGCTTATAGTCCAGTGCGGCTTATAGTCCGAAAAATACGGTAATCGGGGATCCCTTTAAAGGTACAAACCAATTTATCACACTGAGAACAGACACATGGTTACCTTCTAACATGCCCTTTTTGTTTCGATAAACTATATTTTTAAAAACAGAAATTTGCAGGAAAAAGTTTTTAATTAAGTTTTTAATTTCCTGATTAACCAAAGTACACAGAAGAGCTTGAAGAGAGGAGGACAAGTGGCACTACAGTTATTGTTGGTTCAGTTAGAAACTTTGAACATGTCTCCGTAGTTTTGGATGATAGAGAAAATGGAGTTTAAACCTATAAAGCTCTGCAGCACAGAGCAATGTTACATGCAGGACACTGGAGGAAGGTTTTACTGATAATGGCAACCTACAGTTTAAAGTAGGTAGTCCCCACTCCTCCACTGGTCCCCCTTGACCAAACAGTTTTATATAAATGATGTTTTGAATATGCAAAGAAAGTGACCTCCCCCCTCCATTTGACTATCCCCTCAGACAGAAACTGACAGGGAACTGAATCCTAGACATTCTTGTGAAACGTTACATGACAATGCATAAGATCATGCATAATGTTATTTTTGCAAAATGATGGATTCCTTCAAGTATTTTATGCATTTTTTTTAAATTGGAGTATTATTGCATTAGCAAAAGAAGAGTTGGCAAAAATAAAATAAAACATTTCTAAAGAACATAGGCTGCTTTCAACTCAGCCTTTTTCATCAAAACAGTTGGTTTTGTTTTGGCTTTAAAACTGATTATGATCATAAAGCATGATGAGTGTGTCCAGACATTGCATGTTGTGCAATAAAATGACTCAGTTTCTTACTGGGATACCACCAGCAATGATTTCAACAGAGGTTTTCTGTGCAATAACTAAACTAAAGACCAAGCATTTCATGAAGGAATGCACATTACCAACCACCTTCATGTCAGCTAAAACCATCTGAAGTTGTAGCTGTTTTAGTGAAACATTTTAAACAACTTTATGTTGTCTCATAATATTGTGAAGCCTTGTGTGATGTGTCAACTTTCAGCTACTACTGCACAGAATTTAACTCAATCGAGTTAGAGAGCTTTTTTGTGTGTGTTAATATTGTTTTGCTGCAGCAGACACCTTGAATCCAGTTGATAACCATGTCAGTTTTCTAATGTAACAGACAAATGAACACACRAACTTCACCCCACCTTCAGCAACAGATAAGAAAAAAGGAGGGGTTAAATATGGAAAGTGTCAAATGACTTTGTGTAAACTGTTAAAAACCCAAAATACCAGTTTGTTGCTAATATAAACTTGCTCTGACACGTCTCCAGCTTCTTTATTCTCTCACTCTCTGTGCTTTTACTGTGAATCCTGTCACTTTAATAAAGACATTTGACTTCTCTTTACAAATGACTACAGAGTCTTGTAGGAAGGATCACAGTCCAAGCAGCAAAGACTTTTACAGTTACCCTAAAGATGTCTTTGTAACAGAAGAGTTTTTGTGGTTTGTGGGGATTTTCTCGGGTTTTGTGTAGCACTTGTTTTCTCACGATCTGAAATGCCACCGAAAGTGAAAGGTGAAAAGTTTTATAGGTTGCAGGTTATTATCACCATTTTTCCTGGAAAAATAACTTATCCTTTAAGGTCCTGTATTTCTTCTCAGGCCAAGAGTCAGTGACCTCTTTTGCTTACTTTAAAATGTCATCAAGTTTTATTATTTTATTCTTTATCTTCTGTTTTCTCTCAGACAAAGTGTCTTAAGATCAGGACAATATCTGTTTAGAAGTAATCMTTCTTGTTGCTGTTTATCAAAACATCATTCTCTCCTTGGTCCAGTTTGTCTGTTTGGATAACATAATGTATAAATGTGTGTACTTGAAACTGCCTCGTGAACACATTGGGCCTCATGTAAAAACATGTTCGTATTCTTCTCCTAAATTTCTCTTACTTTTGTTCGTACAAAGGGTTCGTACGAACATGTCACGTCAGATTCAACAAACTCTTCTATCTTCAGNGTGATGTTGTCTCCCTCTGCTGTTACTACGTTGTTATGTGTTGTCTCCTCTGCTGTTACAACCTCTTGTCACATGATATCTCCTCTGCTGTTACTACATGTTGTCACGTGTTGTTGTCTCCTCTGCTGTTACTACATGTTGTCACGTGTTGTTGTCTCCCTCTGCTGTTACTATATGTTGGCATGTGTTGTTGTCTCCTCTGCTGTTACAACCTGTTGTCATGTGATGTCTCCTCTACTGTTACAACCTGTTGTTACATGATGTTTCCTCTGCTGTTACTACCTGTTTTCACATGATGTCTCCTCTGCTGTTACTACCTGTTGTCACGTGATATTGTCTCCTCTGCTGTTACTACATATTTTCACGTGATGTTGTCTCCTCTGTTGTTACAACCTGTTGTCATGTGATGTTGTCTTCCTCTGCTGTTTCCACCTCGTTTTCGTCTGTAGACTGACTCGATGATTTACCTCATTAAACTGGCTTTTGTCACGTCTTCTCGTGATGCAAATCTGTCATCCATTGCCGGTGTCATTACTATTTGTCCTTCTACAGAGATTTTGCCAGTTTTATATGTATTTTGTCTTGCAAGCAAATAACTTCCATAATCCTGCAGTTCATATTCTCCCCTGGCTAACTTTGCTTTGTAAGTGGCAAATACTGCTGTGAAGCTAAACCCATTGGCATAGGCATTGTCAGCCTTTTTTCTTGTTATGGCGTTATTTCAAAATAAAAGTCCTTCACACAAATGGCAGTTGTCTCGTTTTTGCTGAAATGTTGAGTTTTAGTGCAAATAAAATGTGAACCAAATTATTCTATTTCTCATTAAGGATAATTTGTGTTATTTACACTCCTAATCATAAATTGTGAAGGTGCTGAATTACACAGGGAAATAACTTCTATGTTGAAATCATGCTTCAGTGCACCTACTTACTTAAAAGCATATTTTTCCTACAAAAAATAAAGTCTATCAAAAATTTTGGAGTTGGATCAATGTATAGTAAGAACACACCAGATTTTGCTAAACTGTTACACTCATATTCAAGAAACTACAATGTTCAAACACTGAACTTTCTAAAACTTTTATTTTTGAAATGTACAAAATACAAAATGTATATAAAACATACAAACATAAACAGATGAACAGGAACTTGATGAGACACAATCTGGAAATAAAACCTCAGTTAATGGCAATAAATACATTTGCTGCATTCCAAAACACTATTTCCCTGCTTCCCACTACCACCATCATGTTTACGCATACAAAATGTAATCCAATTGTCAATACCTATACCTTCAGACGAACCCAAATGTAGGGGACTATAATATGCCCGACTCCGTGTACTCCACAAAAAGTGTGTACATTGGGTGAAGAGGCAGCCGCATGATCACCTCACA